CCTATCCTTTAGTCCCTCTCTCATTTTCTATGTTTTTAATACTCCAATCAGTGTCAGTGGCAGTGTCATTGATGTTAGGATGTGAAAACTGTCTACCCTGTTGAAGAACCTTTTCCCCCCTTCTCTTGTTTTTGATTTGGCAGGTTGAACATCAAGAGTATCTTTTGAAGTTTTGGCAAAAAGCTCTGAACCCCTTGACATGGACAGAAATATTGCATCAAGTGTTGGTTGCTGCTGGTTTTCGTTCAAAACATGGTACATTGCCTAGGGAACCTCCCAACAAGGTATCCACATTCAGACAACTCTGCAATCCTGCTTTCTTAATGTCATGGTGATGTCCCTAGATTTTTGTCACTCTCTGACATGCTTGTGTTGAGAAGAACAAACACTTCTAAAATGGATTATTGCCTATGTTGGACACTAAACTTAGTAGACATTTCTGGTCTTATATTGGCTAGTGCCGATGTTTCCACAATTTCAGCTACTGACCAACAGCCCTTAAACATCGGTGAAACTGTTATCTTTAAATGGGAAGGGAAACATAGGTTCTATAGAAACATCATGTATATTTATTTTTTTCAGAACGTAAACAAATAAATGGGAATAGGCACGGGAAAGTGTGGTTGCAGTGACGACCTGCCGTTAGTATTGTTCCATAGGGGGTTCAAACTCCACACAAGAAGGACAAGCTGTGCAGTTTAAAATAAACCACCAAGACAATGCCAGTTTATAGAGAGAGTGTGTGGTTCGACACTGAAGTCTCAATCCATGGCAATCCAACAAAAGCAGTTCATTAACAGTGTAACAAACCAGTTATGTGGTTTATGTATATCTTCAATTTTGCCTTTCTTTAGCAATGCTATAACCCACCAACCCCAACTTTAGGGGGATGTGTACTTTTACAATGCATTTATCACAAATGCAATCTCTTTTAGTTGAAGCAGTTGAGGTGGGAGGATGAAAGAAGTTAGCATGATTTACATACTCACGAGTGCAGATTGCCACACCGACACATGTGGGCTGCTGTGTCTTATTTTTAAAATTATACCGTGTGACGTGTCAACTTGTCTTTATCGTGCCATGCTCTCTTCCATGCTAAATAGCTCTTTGATGCATTGTGTGTTGGTTAGAGAAGGGATTGAGTGGATGGACTAGAATCTCCTAACATTGCCTACTTGGGACATGTTGTGACAAAAAATTCTAGTTTGGTTTTCTCCCACATTTTCAAATTATGCAACCTTATGTTGTTTTTTTTGGCCAAAAGTTTTCTTCAAGTTTTATGTAGTTATGAGTATCTAAGAATGTCGTTACTTGTGTACTTGGGAATAATGGTGGCCCTAATGGCCCATGATTTTTTGTTGGGTGGTGACCTGCTTTGTGGTAATGGGCTTCTTTATGTTTGACTTTGAGTTGGGTGGCATGAGTTTTTCAGGCCAAAAGTGAACAAGTTTCTAATTTCATAGTCAGACTCAGATAAAAATTGGAGTAAAAGTGCAAAGACAAATGAAAGCAGCAGCATTCTGCAACTGTAATGCGTGGCTTCCTTTTAAAAGGGCTCGCTGAAATGAATTTTCTAACTGCTGTGTGAGGTCTTGAAGGAGTTTACACACACACACACACACAAAAAAAAAAACACTCACACTCATGTAACAGCAGGAAGTTTTGGACTGTTGTTGACTGACATTAGGCCATAAATTATTTGAGTTGATAGGGCTTTGTTGGGTGTCCCCGAGATCTATTTATTTCATGTTTTGTGTGGATTTTAAAGGATTAGGTGGATGTGGGAAAGGTGTGGTACTATGGAATTGCGCTTTATGTGCCATTGTGTGGGTTGTATGGATGGAAAAGAATGCGAGAATATTTGAAAATAAGATAGAAGTGTTGGAAGGGCTATGGGAAGGGGCTTATTGTTTAGCTTCCTTTTGGGCCTAGAGACATAGGAGTTTGAGAATGCCCCTCTTTTTTGTATTATTTCGAGATGGACAACAACTTGCAGAAGTTAACAGTTGGTTTTGGGAAGTGCTTGTGATGTATTTTTTTAGTTATAGGTTAATCCTTTGTCTGTCAGTTGGATTGTACTTCTTGTCCAATTTATTTTTGGATGATTGTAATACTTCGCTATGTTTATTAATAACATGTTTGTTTCTTATCAAAAAGAAAAAGAAAAAAGTTGTGTATTGGACCGATCAAATTGGCATTGGAAAAGCTGGACAAAACTCTTCAATTGATACTTAAGCTTTTGGAAGATAAATGTATATGCGATGCTTTAGAACCTCTATATAGTATTTAGCTTCAATTTTTTTGTTGTGTTAACAACTCACTGAAACACTCATATGAAGATTTTTAAGCGGTTAATGTCCTCTTGCAGAAATGTAACTGAAAGTCTTTAAGGCAATTCAATTAGTTAGACTGGGCTAGAATTCCTGAGATGATATGCAATTTTTCGAAGGAAAATAATTTTTTGATTTGTTACATCCTTATTTTGTAACTGATACAAAAACACCCTTGTGTTGTTAGTGCTTCGACCAGCACTTCAGTTTGCCTGTTTCAGTTGTTTGTCAGTGGAACATTGCTCTCACCCGGTCTATAATATTTAGGCTGCTGCAACTTGTAAACATTTAGCTATCTGAATTTTTGCATGACATGTTTTCAGACATGTTCATGTGCTAGTTTGGGCTTTTCCACAATGTTCTGCCTATTGTCATATGGTTGCCAACTGTTCTGGTATATGAAATAGGAATGGTCAATGTTATTTAAGGAGTAAAGCGAACCGAAGCGACCAAAGCTCCTAACGCCTAAGCGAGAAGCGAGAAGCGAAGCGAACAGTTAAAAAAATAAATAAATATTTTAGTTTAATTACTTATACACATCTAAGTTCTAATTTTATATATACTAAATATTTAAATGCAAGTAAAACCATAAACATTTAAATTAAAACAAACACTAATAATATCTCAAATCTTAATAACAGTCATAGCTTAAATATTTAAATTTAAACAAACACTAATAATATCCCAAATCTTAATATTTAAAAACATAAGACACACAATTCAAACAACTAAAGAAACTATCTTAAAGACTTAGAAATCAATCCAGCGAGCAACAAGTTGTGCTTAAAAAAAAAAGTAATATTGTTCACATTCACATGACTTTTGTGTGGGATTTTCATATGGACTAGACAACAATACAAGGAAAAAAAGAAATGTTGTTCGGAGCATTGCTTATTAGAAAAAAAAAAAAATGTGATCAGAAAAATTAAAAAAAAAAAAAGCATTGGTAAGGAAGGAGCAAAAGACAGAACATGTGATNCTTAAAAAAAAAAGTAATATTGTTCACATTCACATGACTTTTGTGTGGGATCTTCATATGGACTAGACAACAATACAAGGAAAAAAAAGAAATGTNAAAAGCATTGGTAAGGAAGGAGCAAAAGACAGAACATGTGATCAGAAAAAAAAAAAATAGCAGAATTGGTGAGGAAGGAGACTAACAGACAGAAGAAAAAAAGAGAAGAAGAAGAGAGAAGAAGACTATCCTGTCTATCTGGTTGGAGCAGCGAGCAACGAGTTTCTGTTGATTGATCGAGTCCAGCAAGCAGCGACAGAGGCTCTGTCGATCGATCGAGTCCAGNTAAAAAAAAAAAAAAAGCATTGGTGAGGAAGGAGCAAAAGACAGAACATGTGATTAGAAAAAAAAAATAGCAGAATTGGTGAGGAAGGAGACTAACAGACAGAAGAAAAAAAGAGAAGAAGAAGGGAGAAGAAGACTATCCTGTCTATCTGGTTGGAGCAGCGAGCAACGAGTTTCTGTTGATTGATCGAGTCCAGCAAGCAGCGACAGAGGCTCTGTCGATCGATCGAGTCCAGAGAGCCTCTGTTGATTGAGTTCAACGAGCAACGAGCTTCTGTGTAGCAGCGAACAACGAGCTTCTGTGTAGTTCTCCTCATGAGCAACGAGTAGCTAAGGGCATAAATTAGGGGATAAATTAGGGTTTGTGGTTTTATTTATTAGATAAGGGGATAATTCAGTGTATCTCATCTTATAATTTTTTTTTTCAATCGTCCAATCCAACGGTTCAAATTAAAAATCAAACATTTTTCGCTTTTTATAATAAAGCGAATGCTTTTTCGCTTTTTTCATTTTTTCTCGCTTCGCTCACGTTTGCTTCGCCTGGGGTCCTTCAGGTAAGATATGCTCACCTCGCCTCACTTCTCGCCTAGGCGAGTTTTTCACAACACTGGTTATGCAGNATAATTTTTTTTTTCAATCGCCCAATCCAACGGTTCAAATTAAAAATCAAACATTTTTCGCTTTTTATAATAAAACGAATGCTTTTTCGCTTTTTTCATTTTTTCTCGCTTCGCTCACGTTCGCTTCGCCTGGGGTCCTTCAGGTGAGATATGCTCACCTCGCCTCGCTTCTCGCCTAGGCGAGTTTTTCACAACACTGGTTATGCGGAGTGGCACGTGTTTAAGAATCTGATATGATGGGTTTGTTAGCATATGTAGATCATAGAGTTTGATGGTATAAATGATTCTAATTGCAAGATTGGGTGGATGAGTAATGAGAATTAAAATTTTTTTATTAGCATAATTGGAATTAAAATGCACAAGATGTCAGATCCTTATTGCTGTTTATCAGGCAAAAAACATGGATTTTGAACTTAATGCATGCTGTTTAAGTTGAGCCCTTTGATCTGCTGTGATCTTCCCTTTTACTCTCTCTTAAAAAATTGCCATTATGGTAATTTTTAAGTTGTTATTCTTGATGCTAGAGACACATTGCAAGAAAGCCAAATGGAAGAATTTAGGAATAGTTTATTTCTGGGGGATCTCTAGTTTGACTGTTTTTGAACAGAAAGCATTCCATATATACTTGGAACTTGCCTCTTACTGCCAAAACACAAACAAGAAGATGTATTAGTTGCTTCCATACGACTATCCACACGTGAACACAAAGCAATGATTTGTGTCCCTAAAGGAACGTTTAAAGAACACAACATGGCCATGTCTTGTTGTTTGGACTCAAAGGTATGGAAATCAATTACCAATGTTATTTCTCCTGGGTTGTGGCGCTTGAGTTAATGTCTAGGTTTGAGCATTTGAAACCTCCTCAAGCAATAAAAAGTCAAGAGCAGCCTTTNGGAAATCAATTACCAATGTTATTTCTCCTGGGTTGTGGCGCTTGAGTTAATGTCTAAGGTTTGAGCATTTGAAACCTCCTCAAGCAATAAAAAGTCAAGAGCAGCCTTTAAATTGGTGGAAACTGTCTAAATGCTATTTAGTAGGTTAGAAGAGTGGGTGAAATGCAAAATTGCAACTGAACCTCAATACTGACTAAATATTACTTTTGGTCAACTTTTGCAAATCACCGGTTGGTTTAAACTTGAAAATTGATACTTTTGTCAGGGTTATAATGATTTGTGTATGTCTTAGGATGTTTTTGATGTAAGGAGTTATTTTGGAAAGAGAGACAATGCCTTCAGAGTTCAGGATATGATGCTACTATATCTTTACTATTTCTGTTTCGTTACATCTGCAAGTGTTTGTTGTGCTCTATCTGGATTTGCCTCTATGCATGTATGTGAGAATGTGGCTTTGCATGTTGTTTGATATGGCAAAAAGTGGTTCAATTATAGGAAATCAGATAAAAAGAGCTTGGAATCATAGATCAATTAAGATCATTATAGCGTCTTTCATATTCTGATTAACTGGTTTCTTTTGTTTTCACACAAAGGTTTTGCTTGTCCTTATTTGATAGGAATTCGACCTTATGGCGAAGTATGGCTTAAGCCCTGGTACGTTGAAGGGTGAATTGTTCAGTATTTTGTTACTGCAAGGAAATAATGGGTTGAAAGTTTCTGAGTTGGCAGTGTCTTTCTCGGTGAGTTAATATAGATTCTTTTTGGGAAAGAGAAGGATATATGATTACACTATTAGTATCATCATCATCATCATCCTTGTCTCATCAATTTAATTTTATCAATTATTGACATTTTAACTACTTTGGCTGTGGATGCTTGCTTTGTGTAGATTGCCCAATTGAATCTTGCATCTCAAACCCATGAGTTGGAACTATTAATAAGCTCGACGCTTTCGAGTGATGTTACGTTATTTGAAAGGATATCATCTTCTGCATATCGGCTTCGTATTAATTCTGTGACAAAAGAATCTGAGAATTTTCAATCGGACTCCGAAGACTTTGGAAGTGTTGATGATGACTCCAAGGACGGTGACGGATGCAGCAATGCTGGTGATTCTGATAATGATTCAGGGACTCTCGATCCTAATAAACTTGAGCAAAAGAACTGCCTTGAAAATAGTAATAACATGTTGACAGTTTACAACGAAATAGATGAAAGCCATCCGGGAGAAGCATGGTTGTTGGGACTTATGGAAAGTGAATATTCAGATTTAAGCATTGAAGAGAAGCTGGAAGCCTTGGTGGCTTTGCTTGAACTTCTTAGTGATGGGGCCAGTATCAGAATGGAGGTAATCCATCTCATTGTTATCTGGTACATCTCTTGAATGCTTTATTTATTTTTCCTTTTCTTTCCTTTTTTTTTTTTGGTGAATCAGGCTTCTTAAAGGTTAAAGGCACTGCCCTTACTAATATTACTTTAACTACCGTTGTTGACTGCCTAATTTTTCTTGCTTTGTCTTATCATCATTTTTAATTGCCTGTCCAGTGTCTGATGTCTTGTACTGTGAAGCAAGGTTTTTTTGAAGTCTGAACATATTTTCTGAAAATTCAGGTTCTAGAGGGAGCAAAATGTACCTTTGATGTTATTCGTTGCTTTTAAACTTTCACTTTCATGAATTTATTTGAGTTTCAGATTGAGTGAAGTGAGATGTTGCAATAGTCCGTACTTTATTAGGGTAGAAATTTCCATTTTGGCAGTCAAAACAGTGTGTGTGTCCTTTTCTAATCAAACAGGTCTTTCAGTGTATGAAAAATGTCTACAGGAGTTCAGTGGTTACTTCTTAGTCTTGTCCATGGGTGTTTATTAGGTCATTAGACTCATTACATTTTACAGTTAACATGAAAGTGATATTGTGGTTATTTTTTTGACTACTAACACTAATATTATTCAGATATTCTGTACTAGGAAATTCTATTGCTGGAAATTTCTTATTTTAAAGAATTTTTGTTCTTCCAATCCTCTAATTTTCTGTAAGCAATATTCATTTTTTCTGATACTTTAATATCTCATGATTTTCTGTTTTCTTTCATTCCCAACTGGTGCTTGTTTGGGCGTTGGCATTGAAATGAAGAGTATTGAGACTGGACTAGAAGAGCTTAATTGATGGAAATTTGTAGCCTCGACATTAGTTTGATTTTCAGAGTGTATTACTACATCAGGAGAGGGGGTACTGGAGTTCTAATTGCAAAATAATGAAATTTTCCTTTACATCTATTAAACCATGGTTTCAATGGATATAGAGAATTACCCATCAAATTTTTTATAACATTGCATAACAAGTCCCTTCATCATGAAAATTTGGGTGTGTCTACAGTACAGATTTTAAGTGCAACATTGTGAGGGGATGAGGGAATAAGATGCGAAAGAGAAGAGAATAAACAAACTTGTGGCTGCTACAACATCAGATTGACCCCTCTCTGTGGGTGGTGCATATGGGGGACTCATGCTAAACCCTAAATTGGTTAACTTATAGCAGTGAAAATTAAAGGTTTCATTTTAACAGACAGCTTGCAGGGTAGTTGCCTTTGGGTTGGGTGGGGCTGATGGATGGCGCAAGTATAATAAGACCGTTGGATTTTTCCACGAATATCCTAGTTTTTTTGTAGGATGGTTTCATTTATTTTGTTGGTTCGCCTTTCTTGCACAAAGAGGATTTGATAAATTATGAGGGGCTATGGGATTAGATTTTGCTATTTGAGACAACACGGTCAACGTACTCTTTTTTGGTGTCTGCAAAAAACTGGTGGTTATTCAAGAATTAATTTATGATGCCATAGTACAATAGGGGAAACAATGAGATGTACTTGTTGTTTTTTCAAAATCGAAATTTTGAGATATAGAAACTGCATTTTGTTTTAGAAAAACCTCAGAAAGTGGAAAAAGATAGGAAACAGTTGTTGAGAATTATGTTATGGTTCCTTTGTAGCTATAAATTATGTTCCAGTCATGTTTGGCTCCAAATATGCTCCAGTATGTAGTTCTGCAGATTTACAACATGTGGATACATTGACCAGTGCAATGAATTTCTATACAGGAGCCGATACTGTCTGCTTCAGAATGCGTCTCTAACATCAATCATCATGGTTCTGGAGCAAAAATANATACATGCAACACATTTGCTTTGTTGTCTGCTTACAGATCTATGCATTGAACGTGACATTTTTTATCATGTTTGAAAAGATTCGAACTTTTGTTGTTGACCTTCACTCTGGAAAACAGACTCACTAGAGGATTACAATGGCTTTATCTTGGCATTTCTTTTGCTTACATTGTTGCAGTAAGTCTGGGAGATCTCCACCCNAGAATGCGTCTCTAACATCAATCATCATGGTTCTGGAGCAAAAATAAAGAGATCAACAGCAAAGCAGCCCATACAACTTGGAAGCTACTCCAGACAAATCGTTGGTAATTCAGAAGTAAATACAATGTCAGTGATTCACCCTGTTGATTCTTTAGCATCTCTGTCAAAAGNTAAAGAGATCAACAGCAAAGCAGCCCATACAACTTGGAAGCTACTCCAGACAAATCCTTGGTAATTCAGAAGTAAATACAATGTCAGTGATTCACCCTGTTGATTCTTTAGCATCTCTGTCAAACGACTGTGGGAAGAAGAAGATCTCCAGCAAAAGAAAGGATGGAAAAGAGAGAGAAGTTGAGGGCGAATTACATCCTATGCAATCTATCTTTTTGGGTTCTGATCGTAGGTACAATAGATACTGGCTTTTCTTGGGCCCTTGTAATGCGAATGATCCCGGTCACAAGAGGATCTATTTTGAATCTTCTGAAGATGGTCACTGGGAGGTGATAGATACTGAAGAGGTACCTTTGCTTTTCTCACTCTTCCTCTTCAATATGATACAAGGTGATTGTCATTTTATGCTGTGAATTTAACTATCTATCTCTGGGAATGTGTCCTTAATTTGTTAGCAGGCTATGTGCACCTTGTTGTCAGCTCTGGATCGTAGGGGTGCAAGAGAGGCTTTCCTTCTAGCATCTCTGGAGAAAAGAGAAGCGTCTCTTTGCCGAGCGATGTCCAGTATGCTGAATGACACTGGAATTAGGCTGTTGACACAATCTGATCAATCTGAACTGAATATGTCTAGAGAAGACAGTTCATCAGCCGTGTCAGATGTTGATAACAACCTATTTGTGGTTGAGATACAAAATAATATTCCAGTTTCCTCTGCTGCCGTAGTTCCTGAACCTGCAAAGAAAGGAGAACAGCAAAAAGAAAAATGGGTTCGTCTCCAAGCATTTGATGCGTGGCTGTGGAATTCTTTTTATTCTGAGCTTAACGCTGTTAAACATAGCAGAGGGTCATATCTTGAATCACTTGCTAGATGTCAGCGTTGTCATGATCTATATTGGAGAGATGAGAAGCACTGTAAGATTTGCCACACCACATTTGAGCTTGATTTTAATTTAGAAGAAATATATGCCATTCATATTGCTACATGTCAAGAGAGTACAGACACTGATAAGTTTCCGAAGCATAAAGTCCTATCATCACAGTTGCAATCGCTCAAAGCTGCAGTTTATGCAATTGAGGTGCGCTGCTATTCAGATGATGCTTTATATTTACTGCTGTGCCACACCATACCTGCACACGTACACATACATGCAACACATTTGCTTTGTTGTCTGCTTACAGATCTATGCATTGAACGTGATATTTTTTATCATGTTTGAAAAGATTCGAACTTTTGTTGTTGACCTTCACTCTGGAAAACAGACTCACTAGAGCATTACAATGGCTTTATCTTGGCATTTCTTTTGCTTACATTGTTGCAGTAAGTCTGGGAGATCTCCACACAACAAATGGTTCTTGTTGGACTGATCTTGACCGAAGTATTTACTAGGTTTTTCAGGCAGGCTGTAAAACTTATGATCTTGTATGACATTGGGAGTGCGAAGATCATCTGTGCATCTACTGTATATTTGTTTCTCTCCTTATGCATGTAGTGTATTTTATTATTGGAAATTGGTTTTTGTTGGCAAAACTTTTGTGAATAGAAAATGTTGACATGGACTATTGAACAGTTTAGGTTTATGTGATATATTATAATACCGTGTAACTGTATATGATGTTATGCTCAGAGTGAAAAATAAGTAATAGGTAAACTGGTTGCCTCAGTAATACCCAAAAACGAGCATTTTCTTGATAGACCATTTGATTAGCTGGATGCTGAAAAGTAATCAGATGATTAACATGTACTTATCATTGTTTAGTAGGATGCTTATACCTAAACAGTTGAAGATTTTGTTTGAGTGAAAATGTGAAGACAGGTTTTCTGGGAGTGTGAGAAATGATAAAAATTCACTTTCTAAAAATATTATAATAGGTGACAATTTGGTCTTTTCTCCGCTATCCTCATTCTCCCTTTCTTTTTCCCCTTCCTTCTCTTGTATTTCGAATGGAAACACGGCAGTAAAGGTGGGGTTAGGGGGCAGTAATTTCTAGTCTCGTAGCATGAGTATTAAAAGGTAGAACACAAAAGAATTTTGATTGAACAAAGGCAGTTATGAAACAAGATGTTTGCTGTATAGAAACGATTGGATACCTGATAATGGAATTGAGAATGTGCTCCCCAGTAATATGTTAAAATATGTTTTGTGTAGCCGATCCCACAATTTCAAGTCACGGAGTGCACAAAACATAAGTTATATGATTTACAACTGAATAGTTCAACATTTGATGTGGTCTTTAGTTTCATCATGTTATAAATGTGTATATTATTAGTTACTTTGGATTAATGTTCTCTTCGAAATACTTTTTGGGCAGTCAATTATGCCTGAAGATGCCTTGGTGGGTGCTTGGAGAAAGTACGCTCATAATCTGTGGGTAAAACGATTAAGACGGACCTCAACTTTGGTGGAGTTTTTACGGGTACCAACTCTCATGTCTGTCAACATCTTTTTGTGGTTGTAATGTTTAGCTTCTGAAATTAGCATCTACCTTTTATTCATGTAATTAGGGTCTTTCAGACTAGTCCTCAACATTGTAATCCTCTAAATTGGGAGTTATGTTAATTTATATTGTAATCTATAAACAATGTAACTTATTTGTTGTGTGTTTTAGGTTCTTGCTGATTTTGTCAATGCCATCAATGAGGACTGGTTATATGAATGCAACATTGCTCTGGGTAATAATTCTGTCTTGGAAGAAATCATTGCAAATTTTCCAACCATGCCACAGACGTCATCTACTGTTGCACTCTGGTTGGTAAAATTGGATGCGTTGATTGCTCCCCACTTGGAAAGGGTTGAATCTCAAAAGAAACAGGAACTGGCTTCCAGATTTAAAGGTGTGTTTATTTTTACCAATCTCATTACAATTCCTGGGGTGTTGTTATCTGCATCCTATCAGTCTTTAAATTCTCGATGAGCTTTTTTTTTGAACCATATTCAACCTTTGATAAAATCTCGTCTGGTTATCTTTATAGCACTGAAAATTAATTACGGTTGTTTCCAATTAGTAATTGTAGAGCTACTGCCTCTTGCTTAGTTATTTTTCCTATGTTAAATAGGTATGATGTTACCAACTTCCTTTCTTATTTTCTTTGTTTTTTTTTTGTTAATTACATTAACACAACCCCCGAAGTTTTTGTTTTGTGTTAGAGACATCCTTCGTGTGCTAGGCTGCTATCTAGGAAACATGGACATGGACACGACATGATACTGGCACGCGAACACGACATTTCTTTAAAAAATTGGTCACGGATATGTCGGGAACACGTAGAATATATATGGTCACGAGTTAATAAAATTTGACCAAATAGTTTTAATATAACAACGGGTTTACAAATTTGGTCCACTATATATGTCTTACATAAATATTATTTACAAAGTTGGCCTAATTCAAATCTTTTACACAATCATGATTGACAAATTTGGCCCTAATGCATGCATAAACTTAACATTGAAATATCTGTAAAGTTTATGCATAATAATGCAATCATGGTGCAAGTATAATTCAATAAACCAAAAGACCCAAAAGAATAGCATGCTCTCCATGTAAATCCCGTCCAATCCAATGCACCAATTGTAACTGTAATGTTAACCCCAACCACATATTATCATCCTAGGTGGATAAAGAGATAAAGAGGAAATCTGGAATGACTTATAATCACGTATCACATGGCAAATATCTAATAAAGAATAACAAATTGCTTTTTGTGCCACCGATTACAACTCACAAGAAGGCTCTTTGCTCTTTGTGATACTCTCTCTCTCTCTCTCTCTCCCTATCTTGCGTCTGCTGATCATCTCCATATTGGAACAAGAAAGCCATATCTTTTGTGTCTCTCTAACTCTCTTTCTCAGTCATCATCGTGAAGTGTACCCAAATAAGGCACCCTACAAACAACGCAAATTGGTGAGTTACCTTCAAATTAGCTGAAGTAAACGTGTCTTGGTGTGTGCCCTGACTTGTCCCGAACTCGTCCCATTTTGGGTATCCAACATGTGTTCGAAATGTGTTGGAGCATGTCCATGTCCTAGACATTTGGGACACTAAAACGAGGGAAAATAATGTGTCAGCACTTCATAGGCTGCTATTATTGATAGTATATAAGTTTTACATTTGACATTTGTTCCGGTCTATTGCGAGGTTTTAGAGAGCTAAGTGGTAGGCATCTTACCCTTATTTTGGCAAGATTGACTATTTGCCAAAATCAAACCCACGATATATTTTTTTGGCGGATATGGTCATTTCTTTAACAATTGCTTAAAAAGTTACAG